GCATGCTACCACGCCCGGCTGATTTTTTGGTTTATTGTAGAGATGAGGTCTTGCCGAGTTGCCCAGGCGGGTCTTGAACCTGCGGGCTCAGGCAATTCATTCACCTCAGCCTCCCAAAGTACGGGATTACAGGCTGAGCCACCCAGCTCGGCTCATCCCCTGATTTAAAATGAGGTGTGTGCCCCCATTGAAGATACTACCAAATTCCCCAAGGTAGCAGCTTGCTGAGACTAAGTTGGTGAGTCCCGTTTTAGGGGCAACTTAGGACATTGATCGTTTCAACAGCTGTTGACATCTCCAGACACTGTGTCCCATTAGGAACCAGTGCCCATAGGTGGTCCTTGAGCTCTTGAAACGTGGCAGTCAGAATTGCAATGTACTGTGTGTATAAAATGCACATGGCATTCAAAGACTTGATTAAAAAATGTAAAATATCTTATTCATACCTTTAACACATATTACATGTCGAAATGATAGTGTTTTGGATGTATTAGGTTAAATAAAGTGTATTACTAAAATGAACTTCTTAAATATGACTCCTAGAAAATTTAAAGTTATACATGACTAACATTTGTGGCTTCTATTATATTTCTGTTGGACAGTACTGCTGTGGAGAAAGGGTTACGTCTTATCACTCTTTGGCTTTTCTGAGCCTCTGCCAGCCTGCTTGATAATGTACAACCAGAAAAAATGGTAACAGTAACACAGGAAGATTATGGAGTGAGATCTTCACACTCCCTGGTTTTGTCATTTTTTTCCTCTCTCCCTCTTGGGATTGGGAGAGGAGAAGTGTAAATTCACATCCTGTTATGTTTATTTAGTACTTAAAAGAGAGGACAGATTAAAATGTGCTTCTGGTATCCAGTGGCCTTGACGTTAAGATTTAGTTGAGATTGCTTTCATCTAGGAAAACTTTCCTACTGACCTAAAAGAACCACTGTGCCTGGATACCGATCAGGCTACATACCTGTGGCCAGCAGTTGGCAACTTTACACAAAATGCTTCTGCCCTTTTGGACCTTAAAGTACAGCCCTTTAGAAAGACTTGGATACTTTCTGTGTTAGAATCTAGAAAAAGTAAAAGAAGCAAGTGAATGACTCACTTTTAGATGACAAAAAGCTACATTCTTCCAAATTTTATGACACATCACACGCTCAACTATTTCTCATAACAGTGATGCACAAGTATTGACTTTCTAATAAACTATTGACTTATGCACACTTGTTTGCTTATAGGACTATTTTTAGCTGTCTTTGCTAATCTCTTTACCCAACCTTTATTTTATAAATACATCCTACTGATAAGCAGCTCTTCACGTAGACTTTGCTACTCTTGGTACTGCATGAATCTGAGTAGGGTGATCATTATAGAAGTTCTTAGATTAGAAACTGTCTCAACCTGGCCACAGCCTGCAGTTGGGTCTCATGTCACTGTTACTTGACAGATGCATGCATTAGAAAAGAAGTTGCTGTCTACAGAATGAATGGACCTATCTGGTTTTTAGTAGTAATCTTTGGCTACACTGGCTCCGGTTGTACCAAAATATGAGTTGATCCTCAGTAAATATTAGCAGTGTGTCAGGCACAGTTCTAAACACTGTATAATACCAACTAATTTAAGATGCACAACCACCCTTTGTGGTAGTAACTGTTATTTCCATTTTGCACTCAAGAAAACTGAGTTGCAGAGAGGTTGAATACTTTGACGAGTGTCACCCAGCTAGGAAGTGGCAGAGCAGCATTTGACCTTAGGTGGTTTGTCTTCTCTCCACTCTGTCTTCTTTTTTTTTCTTTGGAGTCTTCCTCCAATATTTGTATGTCCGCCTTAGTCTACATAGTCTCTTTGTGTTAGAAAGTTATTTGTAAATCAGATGAATTCCTAGTTCATGGCACCTTGCTGGTCAAATAATGCAGGAAAGACTTTTGCAACGCAAATGATCTTGTACAGCATGTAGGGTCAGCTGCACATAACAGAAAGCCCAGTGGATTCGCAGTGTGCAGGGGCTCTTTGGTGCTACCAGGCTCCTGTCGTCTTGTATGGTCATTCCTAGAATATGGTGTGGTTGTGGCCTGGCACATGGAGTTCATTTTCATATTTAATGTCTCAGTGTACAAAGTGGCAGCTTCACCCCAGTATTGCATTCCAATTCCAGGCAGGAGAAGGGATATGTATAAAGACAAAAGGCTGGATGCGGTGGCTCACGCCTGTAATCCCAGCAATTTGGGAGGCTGGGGAGGAAGGATTGGTTGAGCCCAGGAGTTTGAGACCAGCCTGGACAATATAGTGAGACCTCATTTCTACAAAAAATAAAAAAAATTAGCCAAGCATAGTGTCATGTGCCTGGAGTGCCAGCTACTTGGGAGGCAGAGGTGGAAGGATTGCTTGAGCCTAGAAGTTTGAGGCTATGGTAAGCCATGATCGTGCCACTGTACTCTAGGCTGGCAAGTGACTTGACTTACATCTCACTTGCCAGAACTGTTACGTGACCACTCATGCTGCAGGAGAGGCTGGCCACTATAGGTTTTTAAGTTGGTTACATTGTGGCCCTGAAGAAAATCAGAATGTGGTGGCTAAGGGAAGAGAGAATAGGCCTTCCAGAAATTTATGTGCACTGGTTTCCATCGATCAGTTCTCAAAGCAGGGCACGTGCTACAATTTCTCACTCCACCTAGCCCTGTTTTTTTTTTCTTTTATAACTTTATTTTATTATAGAAATGTGGGGTACAAATCAGGGTTAGGTGCATAAGTCATCTATACATGCAGGTGACGTTTGGACCTCCAGCTGGCCCTCACTTCCCCTGATCCGCTGTTTTAGGACCAGGTACCCTTTGTGTTTTCACATGCTTCCCTCCCCCTCTTCCCCTCCGGCAGTGTCCCTTGTGCTAATTTGATTCTGTTCAAGACCCACTTACGAGTGAGAGAACATGCGGTATTTGATTCTTTGTTTCTGTGATAGACCACTAAGAATGATGGTCTCCAACTCCATCCAATTTGCTGAGGAGTCCATGATTTTGTCTTTCTTAGCCCTGTCTTAGAAACAGTGTTATAACTTTTTTCCTTCATTTAGGATCCCTCATTAAATCCTCAGAAAATCCAATGAATGAGGCGTGTGTGCCATTACCAGCGCATATTAAAGAAACTGAGGCAGAGAGAGAAGTTGCTCGGGGTCCCATACCTGAGTGGTGGTCTCATTGAGGCTCTCCTGCTCTCTCCATGGCTTCACCACTCGGTGACTTGTGTCAGGCAGTGGCGCTTAGAGATTGGGTGCAGGGGCCCTGGAGCTTTGCCTCCAGTTCTGCCTCTGACTGTGTGATCTCATGGAAGCTCTCCATAAATTGCTACTCCTTGTTTTTATTACTTCCTTCTTCTTTTATCCTGTAGCTTCAGGACATAAGCTGTTCTCTCTGTGCAGTCAGGTCTGGCATAGGGTGAATTCCTACCATCCAGGGTATCTGTTGGGGCTGACAA